GCCGGATTTGAGATTTTGCCTTCGGAGATCATTCTAGAACAAGCGTACACGATAGCAGAAAAGTCATGTACAAGTTTGGGAGCTTCAAGCGCCAAAATCTAGTAGCAACAATGAATGTACGGGCAATTCGTTTGAAGAAGCAAACAGGAAGAACTTGCATAGAATCGCAAAGTTTCAATTCTTGGAATAATCGATCACAGACTAACATATTGTAATGATATTCTCTACTAAGGCGGGAAAACAGAACTCTTGATGTAAATTAAAACAATGCAACAAGGGAGGATGTAGGTTATATGCTAAGCTAAAAGCAGTTTACTGAGTTCTATCTTATATAATGTGCAATGAGATTCAAGAGTAAAATAATTCCCATTGGATTTATATCGAAAAATAACTTCTAATGAATTTCATAACTAAATAATTTCCTATGAATGTCTACAGTAAAATAATTACCTATGAATGTCTACAAAAAATAATTTCCTATGAATATCTACAGTGAAATAATTTCATACGAATGTCTACAGTGAAATAATTTCCTATGGATATCTACCTGAAATAATTTCCTATGAATGTCTACAGTGAAATAATTTCCTATGAATGTCTACAGTAAAATAATTTTCCATGAATTTGTATAGAAAATCATTTCCAACGGATTTTAATCGCAAAATACTTTCTAAAAGATTTTAATCGCAAAATAATTCCTAATGAATTTCTGCTGTAAAATGACGTCCAATGAGTAGCTGTCTATATTTCTGAGATGAGGTATTATGTACATTATTTACATTATTCGGACTATTGTCCTCATCTTTATTACAACGTTTCGGTCGTTGTACGCTCTGGCCTTCTTCTCAAGGACACGTGACACAGTGGATAAACGCGTTGGTTAGATCCAGTGAGAGACTCAAAGAGTGTGAGTTCAATATCCGGCTAAGGCAGTAGATAACTTTCCGAGGGAAAATAATAGGAGATAACTGATAACTGACATCCATTAAAAATGGCACGTGGAACTGGAAGAGGCTATCTACCCCAGTGAGCAAAATAAAGGGTTCAGTTCGACATTCCAACCACCTGAAGAAATTAGGAGCATACAACGGCCGAAATGTTGTAATAAAGATGAGTACAATAGTTCGAATAATGTAAATAATGAACGTCCAATGAATTTATAGCTAAATAATTGTTCATGAATTTCTGTAACAAAATAATTTCGAATGAACTTCTGTATAAAACCATTTCAAATAAATATTGTAGTAAAATTATTTCTAATGAATTTCTATAGTAACCTAACTTCCTATAAATTTCTGTAGAGAAAAATCATATATATTATTGTAACTACGGTGGAATAATGGACAGCGACTCGGTTTGAGGAATCGGAGAGGCAAGTTCGAATTCCAGGCAAATCCATTGCGTTCACTTACGTATGAATCCTCTTCTTCTCCCCTCCAGCTATGGGTAAATAAAAGGACACACAGGGTTCTATAGACTTGAATGGCAACTGTTCTACCGCAAAAACAAATAGCAATCTACTACGTGAACAAATCTGCCTCGTCAGTCATGTATCGAAAGATACATGATCGCCTAAGCTTGAGTCAGGCTTAGCACATAATAGACTGAACTAATTTGTAATACTTTCATACGGAAAAATAATTTCCTTTGTAACTCCCAATGAATTTTTATTGCTAAATAATTTCTAATTAAATTTTTACTGTAAATTTTCTGCAGTAAAATTTATAGTATATATTATAGTACATTGCTACAGTAAAATAATTTCCACTGTATTACTATAGAAATGACTAGCAGCATGGCCCGGCGTTGCCCGTGCTTGATTCAAAAATCGTACGACTCATACAGCAAACGCTATCACTTGACTTAAAATATTTTTGCCCTTCCTTGCCTTTAAAGCAGTGCCCTTCGCCGTGCTGATGTTGCTACATGCCTTACTTCTTGCCTATCTAACACTTCGAATTTTTTCTAAGCTCTATACTAAACATTAAATCTGTTACGAAAAAATGACTAAACAAGATGATTACAAAACGATCAGCTTTAAAAAAAAGGACTCGTAACTGGAAAAACCAAATGAAAAAAGAATGTTAACAACAAATACTTTTACACACCCAACCCAGTTCTGCGGAATCAGATTCAACGTTGAGTTTAAGCAAGAGAATGAGCCAATTGGAGTAAAGTGCCATGCAGATTTAAATTTTTCCCACTTGTGACGAATGCAGCTATCGTTTTTTTTTTGTATGCTAGCATGCTAGTTAAAATTCATGTCAGTCAGCTGTTGGCTCTCACGCTGGCCAATAGAATCTTCCTGCCTATTCGTGGCAGCCAGCTATTGGTTCTCACTCTGGCCAGTACAAAATGGCTGCAAACTACATGAAAACTGCCGTAGAAGCATGAAAAAATCGATTATTTCCACTATCGATGGGAGTTGGAAAATGCAAAGTCCGTCTTGGTCTTCCCGCTAACTTGGAGCATGTGCATGTAAATTTTGGTGCAAAATCTCGAAAATTGCGGCCGTGCATTCGTTACACACACACACACATACACACACACGCATACACACACACACACATACACACACATACTGCCTTTTATAGATAGAGATTTCCAATGAGTTTTTTTAAATATTAAAATGATTTCTGATGAAACTCAGTATATACTTATAGCTTCTATTGTTCCACTATATATAGGGCCTACGGTAACTCAATTTCGACTGAGTATTGAGTTCGATCCTAACAGGGTGCTCTACACTTTCGGCCTTGTGCCACATCTAAACTTAACTACGCTTAGAAAATCCTTTGTACACTTCGATGAGATGTAACGGTTAGCAAGCTTGTCGCGCTACCACATTTAAGACTGAACAGTGAGTTCGATCCTTACTGAGTGCCCCACCTAGTAAGGCCAAATGTACACTACATTTAGTAAATCCCTATATAGGGTTTATGGCCATATTACGTTGAAACACCGATTGTCTTCCGATTACCGGAGTTGAGCAACAACCCTGGTCAGTATCTAGATGGGTGACCGCTTGGGAATAACAGGTGCTGTAAGTTTGGATGCGCGGGTGGTGTGATGTATAATTGCTCGGAATTGGAAATCGAAAAGTCCAAGTTTCAGTTCCGGTAAATTTCGTTATTTTCACTTATATCCAGGACTTATATCAGAAAATCTTTGTTATCACACACACACACACACACACACACACACACACACACACACATATATATATATATATATATATATATATATATAAGGCTCAAACACTAATATTCCATGGTTATAATTTATACATTGGAATCGTAATCACGATCCAATTCATCAGACCCACAAATTCAAAAATTATTATATTCTTACTCTGTCCTGGACATTGAGTTCTACCTGAATTCTATCCTCTTGGGAATTTATGTATATAAATTTATATATATATTGACCACTAATATTCTCTCTCTCTCTCTCTCTTTTTTTCTCTCTCTCTCTTAGGAGGAAGGGCCGTCCAGTGCTTTCGGCATTCTGTTGAGTTTTTTTTCTAGACTTGATGAATTACTTAATTATGATTATTTAAAATCCTCCAAATTTCTATCACTTGTATATCCTTACTTGAACCGGCTTCTAATGCTATGGATGGAGCGGCTTGGGGATAGTAGTCGTGGCTCTTCGTCACGAGGCCCGTTTAAACAGCTGGTATGACGTTTGCCTGATAACATGACTGTCCGGGTTTCAATTCTCGGTAGTGGATGGGCACTGTTGATGAGTCCCAAATATAGGACGAAACGGCTGTGCAGTGCTTTCTGCATTCTGTTGAGGTTTCTTCTAGACTCGATGAATTACTTAATTATAATTATCTCAAATCCTCTTAATTTCTATCACACACACACACACACACATATATATATTCTTACAATATAAAAATATTTTATGGCTTTAAGTAGCAGTTGATCAGCCGTAAAAAATCCCTAAAAAAACAAAGTAAAAAACAATCAATTCATGATAGATAACCATTATGGAGAGAGAAAATTTTGATGAGTTGTTTTTTTACAGATTGCAAAAACACTTAATCTCTTAATATTAACTGATATTTCAAGATTCAAGCAAAGAAAGAGAAATGTTAAATAATTCACTACCATATTGACAGAACCTACTGATTGCGTATTTATCGGCTACATTCTCCGTATAAGTTACGGGAAAGCGAAATTCCTGGTGTGATATCAGGCAAAGTATATTTAATAGATTTCTAGTTGTGTGCATGATAAGAAAGCAATGGGAATAAAAGTTCGTCCAGAAAAAGACAACAACAAATAAATAATGAATATTATTCAAGCAGGCAAGTAGACATCTCTTTGTACGTCCTAGCAGATGGGCAGGTTGAAATCTCGCATTATCTCGCCGCCTTGTTAGTGTCATTCATTCGCGCGTTCTCTCGTAAACGGAAACAAGACGGCTTTCAGTTGGCTGATCGAAACTGCGTCGATGTTGTGATGGTGTTTATTTATGAGTGCTGACTGATTGGTGACGGAAGCCATCACAAAAAAACTGGAGAAGACAAATGAGATTTCTTTGTGCTTTCGAAAGCCTGTCTTAAAGATATCGTATGGGGAAGAAGAATGGCGGGAAAAACGCAGGCATGCACAGCGTGTAAAAAGACTTCCGTTTTTGCTGTTTGCTGAAGAACGGTTCCCAGCACTTAGAGCTTAGATTTTTTTTTTTAATTATTTGATGTTTTCTCAGTTTCTTTTATCTTCTTCTGAGGTAGGTGTGCATTATAGGAAGTGTTTGGGGGGTAAGGTTGATTCTTTTGTTTACATTAATAGGTTTGTTTATTTGTTTGCATCCGTGGATGAAAAAAAAAGCTTTAAATGAAAATATGATAGATAAGGAAAGAGTCGACAGATAAACACAAATTAATGAAGAACCATAAAAAGATCGACAGATAAACAGATAATGAAGATAATAGATAATAGAAGAATAGATAATAGATAGATAGATCAGATGCCCATCTATAATACAGATAATGAAGATAGATAGATAGATAGATAGATAGATAGATAGATAGATAGATAGATAGATAGATAGATGAATAGAGTTTGATAGGTCGATAATTAATAGACTGATATATATATGTGTGGATGTATATATATATATATATATATATATAGATAGATAGATAGATAGATATATATAGATAGAGAGAGAGAGAGGGGTGGAGGGAGGGAGAGATAGATAGATAGATGGATTGATAGATAGATAATGAATAGACTAAGAAAGATAATGAATAGAATGAGATACATTATATATATATATACATATATATATATATATATATATATATATATATATATATAGATAGATAGATAGATAGATAGATAGATAGATAGATATAGATAATGAACAGATATATACATAGATCGTTAATGAATACAGAGATAGATAAATTGACAGAAAATGAATAACTGAATATATATATATATATATATATATATATATATATCAGTTTATTCATATATATATATATATATACATACATGCATATATATATATATATATATATATATATATATATATATATATATATATATATATCGAGAGAGAGAGAGAGAGAGAGAGAGACATAAAAACCAAACATTCTAAACAAAAAGAAAAAGAAAGAAATCAATAAGCAATTGATAGACGTAAAGGAGCATCAGTAAGATTTAAAAAATAATATAGGAGAAAAAGTGGAGAGAAAAATATTTCGAAGAAATAAAAAGAACTTTGTGAATGAAAGAACCCGTGAAAAATGTTTTGTAATGTTTTCTTCATTTTTAATCTCTTCATGTCATTATTTACACGTTGTTTATTTAGCACTGAGAAGAAGAAGAAGAAGAAGAAGAAGAAGAAGAAGAAGAAGAAGAAAAAAAAAATTACGATGAACACAGAATACAGCTTAAAACAAATGAAAAGGATGTTTGTCATAAAACAATGCAAGAAAAAAATGAATGAAAATATTGACTGGAAAACGAGAAAAGTTACATTACAAATGAGAGAATGCGTGAAAGGCAAACAGAGCTTTCTCGTCTGATAGCCGGGTAGATGGAAAAAAAAAAAATCGGCGCAGTCAAGTAGCAGTTTGGTAGGATAGCGATTCAAAAGAATAAAGGTGTGGGATAAGAACAGAATAACAGAATACTGCCATCTTTGATTCTTGTTTTCTTTGTTTAAAGGGAAACGGGCTGTTGAATCTGGATCCGAGTTTGGCAAGGATAAATTGGGTGTAACGCAACAGTTAAACACAAATAGGTATTTATACGACGTATCTATTTATAAATGTAAATAATATGTGAAGCAGTTTCTCTCTTTACTGTACTTAATTCTAATAATTATCAGAACACACACACACACACACACACACACACACACACACACACACAGACTTGAATATACACATATATATATATATATATAAAATATATATATATATATATATACTGGTAATTATTAGGAATTAAGTAGAGTGAAAAAAAAGAGAAAATATATATATATATATATATATATATATATATATATATATATATACGAGTATTTAATCACGCTTATTTAAATATAGATTTCTAATTGGATATTCAATACCTGAATAACACCTCATTGTAGGATAGTGCGTAACAAGCTAGTCATGCAAAATACTACCGCTCTAATTAAATCTTAAGTGTTACTAAATGAGCAAACGGTGTGAGGACACCGCTGAATATGAAAGCAGCTAGCTGAGTTCAAATTCCAGCGTATTCTGTTGCGTTCAATTTTAACCAAATGCCCTTGAAAAAGACATGGGACGATCCAATTTTACCCATACTTGTACTGTGTAGACTTGAATGACAACTAGTCGTGGAGTTATAAATTTCTGAAATCTACATCTAGGAAGAAACAAGGGGAAATCACACATCAATCTTTCGCAAGAAGACAAATTCGCATATATTGGAAAGGAAACTGTGGGTAGTTATGCTTGTAGACGTCTTGAAGAAAAACGGCATGTTTTTAAAGCGTGTTTTGAATCGTAATGTACTCTTGTAAATTATGATGTAACAAAAAAAACATCACTTTGATGTTTCAGAAAGCCGAAATTATAGGACACCTAGTGAGCACTGAAAGTGATTTACTATGAACAGCTTAGTTGTGACACAAGGCCGAGAGTAAGGAGCATCCAGTGAGGACCGAACTCACTGCTTTGCTTTAATTGATCTAGTGAAACAAGCTTGCTAGCCATGATATATATATATATATATATATATATATATATATATATATTATAAAATATATATTATAAAATATATATTATAAAATATGGTTCCTTCGCTACACAGTAATTACCATGTTTCAAAATGCGAAGATAAAAACTTCAAATTTAATTATATAATTAAATTAAAAGCATTAGTTCTGGTTCATCTTCAAGCAAATTTTGGAATCCAAAATTTACTTGAAGATGAGACAGAACTAATGCTTTTAATTTAATTATATAATCAAATTTGAAGTTTTTATCCATTTATTTTAAGCAAATTTGAAGTTTTGTCCATTTTTTTAAGCAAATTCCTTTCATATCCTCTGATAAGCTTAATAACATGATCATTGAAAGACAATTTCGTAGAAAATATGCATCCTCCGAAAGGAATCAAACGTGTATTCTATACTGAACCGTCATTAAGCCTGACGTGCTATGACCGTTCAGCCAGTTTGGTAAAGCTCGAATTACTGCTTTTAGACCTTCGCCGATGTTTCTCGACCTATCATATTTGCTCTGAAATTGTATCCGAAAGTAAAAAATAACGACACATTATATGAAATGGATTAAATATTTTAATATATTTTCTTTTTATAGGGTTTTTTTTAGGGATACACTTTTTTTAAGTAAATGGTCTGTTTTTTGTTTTTTTTGTTTGCTTTTTGTTTTTTTTTAATTAAAAATTATTAATTACATTTACCGGCCTGAATGTTCGAGAAAGTTCGTATAGGATACAGGCTCAATACCTCGTATATTTTCTACAAAATTAACCTGAGAGCTCAAGTCATGTTCTTGAAGAAGCTTCTCCGATGTAGAATCTCGATGGATGTCAGCCTTGGCGTCCAACTCAATTGAAGCCATTTTTTGTCTTAAAGAAGACAATATTTTATCAATTCTAATGGATGTCATCAGTTATCTCCTGTTAATTCCCCTCTCCAAGTTCTCCACCGCCTTAACCAGGTATTGAACTCACACTCTGGGTTCTGTCACTGGATCTACCAAACGCCTTCATCCACTGTGCTATATATATATATATATATATATATATATATATATATATTAAAGAAAAACAAAACCGTTGCTAGGACCAACGGATAACTCGACAAAACCTAAACTCTTATCCTGATACAGTCTCGAATAAAAACGAAAATACTGAAAAAAGAAAGAGAAAGAAAGGCCTGAAAGCAAACTTACCTACCCAGTAAAGTGCTTGAAGCTCAGATTGAATAGACCGAGCAAAAAAACGCTTGCAAACGTTAAATTCCATGTAAGGATGACTCGAGTTTCACGCACAGACGACCTTCAGACGACTTGAAATGAAATGAAAAAAAGGGAAGGGGTGGATTTTATATAACTCGTGAATCGCCCTAAAGCATAAAGGAAAAAAATTCTAATTTCATTAAAAATTAATTAATTAAAAATTCCTGTGGATAACTAGACCTAAACATAGGTGAAAGAAAATAGGCATAGTAAAAAAAAACCGTGGGTGGGTGAAACGGCTAACTGTTGTATTACAGTGTAACCCGGATATAAGAGAGTTGTCGGGACCGGAGAAGAAGTCTCTTATATTCGGGTTTCTCTTATATCCGGGTTTGGTCTATTTTATATATATTAACACAGGCTCTAATTTGGGACCAGAGAAAATCTCTCTTATATTCGGGTTTCTCTTATATCCGGGTCTCTTATATCCGGGTTACAATGTATAAGGTTGGGTTCAGTGGAGAAAAAAATCACTAATAAACCAATACGTTTGTCCGGTGGTAGGTGACAAAATAAGTAGTTTATGTTATGTCTACATCTGCTAATTAACTCTGTTTTTTTTTATTATTAAGGATTCTGTTATATATATATATATATATAGATAGATAGATAGATAGATAGATAGATAGATGGATGATAAATAAATACATTGGGGATATGATTAATTGCAGTACGTAGGCAGAGGTAAGATTAAAAACTGGCTGGATTAAAACATTTCTTTCACACATAAAATTCTTTCAAGTCAGTACATTGAGGCAAAAACAAATGACATTGTCTACCAGCTAATAAAACAGACTTTTAATTTTCTTGTGAAGAATTGACAAAACAGCCAGAAAGTGATCATCGATTACCAAAAACGCTTATAATATATACACATATCTATGTAACAGGATCATTTGATATATATATATATATATATATATATATATATATATATATATATATATATATATATATATATATATATATATATACGCTAGAACGTATGTGTGTGTGCATCTATCTTATACTGTTCATATGTATGTATGTATGCATCTATCTATCTATCTATCTATCTATCTATCTATCAGTTTGCTCCTCATCTATCTATCATTGACAGTTTTATTTTTATTATTTACTTGATGTATAATTGTGTTAGTACTACGTCTGTCCCATAATAGTTATGATACTTAAAGTTGTGAAATATATATGCAAATATAATAAATATTATGGGAGAAATGTAAGTCAACCCAATATTTTCTATCTATATCTATCTATCTATCTATCTATCTATCTATCTATCGAATCTATCTCTATTCTATTCCTATCTATCTATCTATCTATCTATCTATCTATCTATTCCACAGAGCTGACCTGGTGTTTTATACTGAAACTATTGTGAGTGAAACTTAGTAACTGTTTAAGGTTTAGTGATGTGCCCTTGTTTTAAATTCAGAGTTATTCTATTTCTTATCAATTCCAGAGTTGTTCATCTCTCTTTCTCCATATATATATATATATATATATATAATATATATATAGAGAGAGAGAGAGAGAGAGAGAGAGGCCAACGGGGGAGAGAGAGAGAGAGAGGGAGGGTATCCGAAAAAATACTTTGTAAAAGTCTCAGATTGTATTTCCAGACCGAAGGTAGCCGAGTCATCCAAATTTTGCTGCTGTTTATCCTCGCGAGACAGGATCAGTAGCATTACAAACTATGGATCGAGGAAGACCGAGATCCGCTCGTTCGTCTGACCACGAAGAATACATTCTACAGGCTGTCGGAGACGATCCAAATATCAGCACATGTCAAATGGCACTAGCATGTTGTACATCTCATAGTACCTCATGGAGGGTACTTCGAGAGCAGCTCCCGTATGTGGATCATTTGCAACACGTGCAGGGTCTTTTGCCCTCTGATCACTCGCCACGGAAGAGCATTTGACAATGGTTTATCGCACAAACTGCCGATCGATTGTTTGTCTTTTCTGTCTTAGATTACGGATGAGGCAGCATTTGGACGAGATGGAATAACAGATTTACACAACCAACATTTGTCGGTGAACTGGAATCCCCATGGCACAATACTGGCTAGATACTAGCATCAGTTTACAATTAATGTGTCAGCTGGAACTGTAGGTAACTATTTGGCAGGTCCATATGTTCTCCCAGCACTTCTTAAAAGACCTGTCTACAGAGATTTTATTTCTCACATACTTTCAGACTTGCTAGGGGATGTATCCCTACTAACACCAAGAGGTATGTGCCTCATGCATGATGGGGCTCCAGCACATTTTAGTCATATTGTTCACTGATATCTACCTTGAAAGATGGAGAGGTGGCGGAGGACCGGTTTCATGGCCTGCATGTTTCCCCACGACGTCAATCCTTTGGATTTTTATCCGTGGGACCACTTAAAACAACTGCTTTATGCAGCTGACTTTAATAAGGCAGAGATGCTTCA